TGCAACCAGTCAACCTGCTGCCTGATAATTTAACAGCTGCAGGTTTCAGGAAACCATACTGCACTGAGACAAGCGCACCAACTTAAACTACATGATATACATATCCATAAATTGCTAGCAAACTGACCGGTGTAAATGCAATGGAGTAGCTGGACTATCACATCTTAGACTTTACTAAATATATGGATACGTACTGAAACATCAATAAGCAAGTGCACTAAAATCAATGTGTTCGTCGAATATATGACAAAGATATTGAACAAACACCACATGTCACTCAATCTCTCTTTGATATGGGGCTTGTAGTTGAAGTACAATGTACCGACGACCTTGATTTTGCCAACCGGAATCAAGACAGCGCCTACAGTTTCTTTACAAAGTTTTGAATTAGGTAACAGATAACATATATATAAGGATTAAGTGAAAGTTGTCAATGTATGGTTCTTAAAATGCTTGAAATCAATAAAACTATAGGTGAAAATATATTTTATTGGTGACTTTTGTGTGACGCTTAATAAACTTTGAGAATATCAACGTACTTAAATACGGGCTACAAATTACTTTGAGGAACTGGGAATATAATTGATAGACGACCATTTAGCGACGCTGAAGTGACCTTACGAATGTTCATCTACTGACTAGTGCGAAATATATGTAGAAAAACCATTGTGAGGACTTAGAATTATGAATTACAGTTGATGTTTAAGGTTAGGAATTAGATTTAGGCCTTTCATCACGAACCGACATCAACTGAAACAACAAAATGTCAAAGGGATGAATAAATTTCACACCAAAATCCATGACCTGTTATCATATATCCGATTGATTCGTCCATACATTATAGTCTCGTCAAAATACTTTACGCGACGCCTCAAACAATCGACTCTGACTGACGTAAAAGTGGAATCTTCGTTGACATTAACAGGGGGAGTAGTACCACCTGGTACTGACATTGTTAATAATGCACCTTTAATGGGAACCGAAGATCTGGATAAAACAGTCACCGTTCCAAATAGTCCCAGTGTTATGAGGGATGAAAAATGGAATACGGTACGTAGGAAACGAACCGAAAAGAAAAAAGCTGTAAGCAGTACACAGGTAGTTAGTAACTCCCTGGTGGACCCAAATTGTGAGCCACAAATTGCACCACCAAAATCTGAAGGTAAGAGTGAAACCCATCCTGGCGTGACTGAGAAGAAAAATCTAATAACATCGAATATTATTGTGAGCAAATTGCGGGAGTCAAACGACCCTGATCCGAAAATTAGACACGCGCATGACTTAGAAAAGCTAGGAGAATACATTCGTAGTATTTTACCAGATAACTCCAAAGGAGTTCAGGTCAAAAAATTGGTAAGAATAGGCAAGAGGACCGAGGACAATGTTGAACCCCGTCCATGCAGACTCCTTAAGTTAATCCTAGGATCGGAGAAGCAACGGGATCTCTTGTTAAGTAGCGCTCGTTGTCACGACAATTCTGACATCCGAGTTAGACCTGACATGTCTCTCGAAGATAGAATAAAAAGGAAGAAAGCACTAGCTGAACTTGAAACCCGTCGGCAAAACGGTGAGGAAAATCTCCGGCTAGCGGGTTTTCGGACAGTCAGGTCTTGGAAGCGAATGCTACCAAGGCCTGTGTGGATAGGCTGTTCTACCTAGGAGTTTTATATGCCAACGCTCGTAGTCTACGAAATAAGTTCTATGAACTAGAAGCACTTGTGGACAGATTAAAGCCACTCATTGTAGCAGTGACAGAAACTTGGTTAGTCGATGACTTAGACATTACTCCAGAATTATCCGGATACCATTGCATCATGAGTGATAGACATAGATATAGGAAAGGAGGCGGCGTCCTGTTATACATAGCCAATAGCATAAATATCCGCTCCTCTATTAGCGAATCCCATGATAACGGCACTTGTGAAGTCATTAGCTGTAAGTTGGCTATAGGATGTAGTACATTTATGCTAGGTGTCATCTATCGCAGCCCAATCTGCCTAGCTGATGACTTTGTTTTAGAGCACATTCATCTTTGGAGTGAAAATACCAGATGTTTGGTAATAGGAGACTCTAACGCACCTGATATTAGTTGGACTGATATGACCACAGAAGGATCTATAAACTCCTTTGATAGTAAGTTCCTGATGACAATAATGGAGCATGCACTAGTACAGCATGTATCCCAACCCACACGTTTTGGTGTTAACCAGGGTTCTTCTCTGCTGGATTTGGTAATCACTCATGAGACTGAGGATATTGTCGACTTAAATATTCTTCCACCGTTAGTAAACAGCGATCACGCTGTTTTGTCATTCGCGTTTAGAACTAGGGACATGTTATACGATCAGGTTACACCGCGCCCAAATGTATGGAAAGCTAACATATCAGCCATTCAGGAATGCGCTGCTAAGACAGATTGGTTAGTAGATACTAGCATATCAGTTGAAGAAGCATGGTCTGTATTTAAAGGTAAATTTAGACTAGTTACGTCCCCGTTCATACCATACCTGGTACCGCGAAGACCGAAAAATAGTCTACCATGGATAACTAAAACGGTCAGGAAACTCCTTAGAAAAAGGAAGAATCACTGGAGTATGTTCATCTCTACTGGCTTAGAACAATACAGATCCAGCTATTGTAAGATTAGGAATGCCTGTAAAGCGTTAATAAGCAAGACTAGACATTCATACGAAAAACAATTGGTTGGGGATTCTAGATATAGTCCGAAACGGTTATTCTCGTGTATAAAAAGGCGAACTAAGAGAAGCGATGGAATTCCATCACTTTTGATACGAGATAATCCGTTAATCTTAGCAAAGAATGATGCCGAAAAAGCTGAAGCTTTATCGAAATATTTTAGTAAAGTGTTTTCTATCGGTAATGAGGAACGACCAATGATTCATCGTGACCGTGACGGCTCGCTGATATGATCCTGTAGTCATTGAGAAAGATACTGTTTTAAGGCTACTTCAGCATTTCAAACCTGATAAGTCCAGTGGTCCCGATGATATTCATCTTAGGATTATGAAAGCCATATCAGATGAAATTGCTGAACCATTAGCGATACTATTCGACATGTCTCTGAGACAGTCCAGACTTCCTAGAGACTGGAAAGACGCCATAATAAAACCGGTGTATGAGGCTGGGAGTAGGGGTTTAGTTAGTAACTATAGACCCGTTAGCTTAACTAGTGCAGTTGTGAAACTGATGGAGAAAATCATTCGGATAGCTGTTATAAACTATGTTGAAGGGCAAAATCTTTTCTCCAGGGCACAACATGGTTTTCGGAAAGGCCTATCTTGCTTGACAAATCTTCTCATTGCACGAGAAGAGTGGGCTGCGGCAAAGGATCGGAATGCTCCTGTAGATGTAATTTTCATAGATCTAAGTAAAGCCTTTGATAAGGTTTCACACTCTGGTCTTAAATTCAAACTGAAACGTTTTGGAATCCATAACACAGTCGTCGATTGGATAAGTAACTTTCTCCATGACAGGAGACAAAGGGTAAGGGTTAATGGGGCTCTCTCCTCGTGGGTACCTGTAAAAAGTGGGGTTCCCCAAGGCACAATCCTAGGTCCTCTTCTCTTTTTACTTTATGTAAATGAATTGCCAACTGTAGCAAAATCATCCGTTCTACTCTTCGCTGATGATATAAAGATTTGGAGACCCATAGATAGTATGTCGGATAGAATAGTATTACAGGACGATCTTAGCTCATTGGTGGCATTGTTAGGTGGTCACTAGAAGTAAATCCTAATAAGAGTGTAGTGATGCAGTTAAATAACTCAGATGAATCGTATGACTATACACTACGTGGATTCGTGCTACCCAAAGCAAGAAACTATAAAGACTTAGGAGTTATATTAAGCAATGATCTCAAAACGACTAGTCACTGTAAGGCTGCTGCTGCAAAAGGCTATAGGGTATTATGGTCAATTCGTAGGTCTTTCCAGTATTTAGATGATGAAATGTTTGGATTACTATACCCGATTTATGTGCGACCACATTTAGAATACGGGATTCAAGCAGCGAGTCCTTGTTTCAAATATGAAGCAGATATGCTAGAAAGAGTCCAACGACGAGCTACTAAGATGGTACAAGGTCTATCTGGCCTATCTTATGAAGACAGACTGAGACACCTTAACTTATTTCCGTTATCTTACCGTAGAGTACGGGGTGATCTAATATTGGCTTATCGTATACTGAACGATGACCTTGGTATTAACATGTCTTATCTTTTGCTTCCGTCTAGAACCGATCATTTGAGAGGACATTTGAAGAAAGTTCAAAAACCGAGATCAAACCGTTTACGTCTGGAGTTCCGTTTCTCGCACCGAGTAGTGAATTACTGGAATTCCCTACCGGAACACGTAATATCAGCACCGTCTGTTAATATATTCAAAACGAGATTGGACCTCCACAGTATTACAAACTGCAAGGATTAATATAGGTCGACAGACCTCCTATCCTTATTACTGAAGACTGAAGACTGAAATAAGTAAAGTTTCGATAGTGTTTGAATTGAATATTATAAGATTACTGCTTCAAAGGCAGCAACTAATGAACCCGATGTCAACCATTACGCATCCAAGAGTATTCAGTGAGGCTACTTAAATTTACACCATCTTACTCTTACTTTAGATCCCAAACATAAGTTTCGTAAGTTTACATACATCAAAGTCGGAAAGCAGTACACTTTAGCCGACTCAATTCTCACTTAAAACCATGGCCACGATTTGTAAACCCAACTCAAAACTCAAGTTTAAACCTTTACACCTTACCTTGATCTTTTTGCACTGTAAAATGTCAGTTGGTGATGAAAATTATGAGGTGAAAACCCTAACTCAAAACACTAGCTCGACTCCTTATATATATCTATTTATCCAAAACTTGCCCTTTTTTCCTAGCCGGAAAATATAGTCTAACTTGTGAGAGTTAATGACTGTAATCCACTGTCATTCCATAACTTTGTACTGTTCATTGTTTTATTACTGAAAACTTTTTTCTGATTGGCCGCTAATTGGCTCAAGGTCGTTGGTGCTTAATAACTTACTGGGATTTATGTAAAGTGGTTTCTTTGGTTCGACCAAGTTTGAGAATCGATTACTTCCCTTCCGTGTCCTGGTTCGTTAACTTATGCGTGTTAAAAGCTCTGGAATTCTTTTTGATGCTATTTTTGCTACATACATACCTTAAGAGGTTGATATTTTAAGACAAGACTTAAGTCTTGTCTTAATTAAGGCACACAGTCGTAGATAAAGTGAAGAAAAGCTTTAACTATGGTTAGTTATATAGTAATACATTTTTATGCATTATGCCGTCTTTTTTATCAGTAAATAACTAGCCATACAAACGAAATATCCCCTAAATTCCCCAAAATTTCCCCAAACACTAGTGAAGGTCATTTGACTCCGAGTTTCCCCTAATACCCCAAACTTGGAAGCTCGGGTTGTATTCATACATACAAGTAGATATCATGCAAATGTAATTGCGTGATTACACGCTACAGGTATTATTACGCGTTAATTTTGTGTTTAAGCTTTTTTATTGTCTTCTAGCTGAAATACGTATCTAAATAAAACATCCTAGAATGCTTCTGCCGTGAAAGTGGACACTGGCGAAATGAGGCTAGACTATAAGTTATGGACAAACCATGGGTTATAGTCTCACCCGAAATGCTGTTAAGTGAACCCAAGCCCCTGTTTTTCAAAATTACCTAAGTTATTAACCCTAAGGCTGAAGTAAGGTTCTGTCTCCAACAAAAAGTCCAAAATTAATTTTTTCGCACATGGTTTCTTTACTGTTAAGATACATTTGAACGTGTAGCCTGTGAACGGTCTAGGAATTTGGAGTATTACTAGAGTTCAGTTACTTAAGGTATCAGCGTATGCTTTCGTTACCACGTAAGGAAAATTTTTACTGGTTAACTATTTACAAAGTTGACTGTCTTGTCTGAAATTTGTTGGGCAGTTATTTCAAGTCGGCCTAAGTGTTATCTTCCAGTTTGTCCATAAGTGTTAGTAGGATGTCACGACAAGCTTCTATGCAATGGCACTGCAATGACAGTCAACCTTCGGGACAAAAACTACCTTGGAATACATTTAATGACAAGATGCAACCAAACTACTGTCTAACTGAGGAATGTTAAAATATCAGTTTATGGTTTAGCGGCGATTATAGAATTTTTACAGTTTTTATATTAGGGACTGATCCTAGCTAGACCACCTTTTGAGGCTATAAAGTACGAAACAATTGTTTAATCTTGGTATCGGACTCCTCAGCAGTGAACATCTACAGTCGTTCAAAGGCAGTTAAACTCAGGATCGGCCTCGCACGCCGACTCATTGGTATAAAGGTTAAGTATTCGCAAGCGAGATAAAACTTCTTGGGTTCTAAATTCTCTGACATGGACTGCCGAGGAGTCTCACGCCAAGACAAAACGGCTGTGCAATACTTCCTGGTTTTCGGTAGTGTCCTAACTTAAATCAGTTCGTGATTTAAACCATGGAAATCGAGAATTGTTGGTAATTATAAGCCTTAGTTAAGCCTGTTTTACTAATGCTTGAATCATGCATAAATAACACAAGCGTACTTTAGTAATTGGATTGGGGAAGTCATCCGACAACCTAATCAAATGATTTGTTTGAAAGGTGCTCAATAGATGCCACCATTTCATATATACTCAGCTGTACAGAACTTGTGCTGAGGTTGGTTACATATCTATTTATAAACTACCGCAACATATGTGTGATAAATAACATATGTACAATAAAGATCATTCTTCGCCTCTTTTGGAACTTATTTAGTTAAGTCAAATACACTAGTACATCACCGTAAATCATGTTTTTATCTGGCTGGGGATGGAGTAGCTTTTGCAGTATCATGCACCTACCTGCTTCTGTTTGGGCACCCAGACAGTATTCCTGCCTTCGAACAGATCGAATGGCGAAGTGTGGCGCATATATATTTGACGCCTTCTTTTACCAATGCTTACGTGTTTAAATAAATAATATTTCGTTTGTTGGTAGGAATAAATCTAACCATCCTTTGGTAGAATTTATAATTACCTGTAATTCCCGACTTTCACTGTTTTTCATCCACATTCACAAAGTTTTGGTGTGTTTTTCAGACTTACATAATACTCCTTAAAGCTTAGTGTTTTCGTTTTGATTTTAAATTATTTTGATTGGTAAATGCTCTGTTTTATTGAACAGATTTATATTATGTTATAGGATGTCATCCAAAGTTCCTATACTTTCTGCCGGTGGTCCTTTGATATTTCGTCAATTATTTGAAAAGGTTTCATCTACATACACTTACTTACTGGCCGACTCACATACCAAAGATGCTGTTATTATCGACCCTGTTTTAGAAACTGTTGAACGAGATAAAAAACTTGTAGGTTGGTGTAATTCTTAACTTTTCAGTAAAATAATAAATAAATTTTCGGGTAGTCCTAACAACATCAAATTTCAGGAATCCTGACTTCTAAAAGTGGTTATGTGGTCATATTCTCCTTTCGTCATGTAGGTGGTTAGGGGTATCTTAAATCTGAAACCACTCGAGTGGATTAAATTAGTGAATAAAACTGTGTCCACTGAATTACTTTTTGTTTGTCAGTCAGTCAGCTACAACGTAGGATCAGGCACATATATACATCGGTCCAAGTTGTCATACCTCATTAACACAACAAGATGAACACCGGACTCATAAAAGTAGTTAATTCAGAGGTGGTAATATATAAAAGAAAGATTGCAACAAGGATATAGCACAGGAAGAAAGAATTAGTTCGTAGAAAGAAAGATATGAAGCGATTTTAATCTCATAGTTTAAGGGAAGATAGAGAGTGTATACACCGACGCTATTGTGATCGATTCTGAGCCATGTCACCAAGAGTCTCCAACCATTGGTTACGATAGTCACACGGACCCCAAACAAGTAGTCTGCATCTACCAACATGGCTCAGACTAGAAGTTAGTGACTTCAAGCACTGATGCCACGTTTTGGTTTGGTCGTCCCTAACTTTCTTCCAATCATCTCCAGCACCGGTTAGCGTTGCACGTCGTGGTAGTCGGTGTTCAGGCATACGTAACACGTGGCCCAACCATCTCAGTCGATGAAGATTCATAACCTCATCAACTGATTTACCATCGTTCCCTAATACCCTGCGTCTAACCTCACTATTACTTACCCGGTGATCCCAGCAGATGCCAGCAATATTTCTGAGGCATCTGTGGTCAAATACTAGTAGCTTACGAGTATCTTCTACTCTTAAAGGCCATGTTTCGCTGCCGTAAATTACAACAGAACGGACTGCCGCGCAGTATACTCGTTCTTTTATTGATAGACGGATATCTCGCCTTCGCCATAGGTGACGCAAGTTGGCAGAAGCCAATCGAGCTTTTCGAATCCGTGCTGAGATTTCGTCAGACACCAACCCATTAAGGCTGATCAGACTTCGCGTTCGACTACTTCACTCTCTATCCTTAGTTCAGGTGTTGACGCAGACCAGTCCTGAAGCAACAACTTACATCTAGAGGGAGAGAAGCGCATTCCAAACATTCTGGCATTGTTGCTTAGTGCTACCAAAAGACTGCATTTTATCAGCGTCTTCACCAAACAGGACTATATCATCTGCGTATTCTAAGTCGATAAGTGGACCTCCGGGTAGGAGATCAATGCCCGAGAATTCAGTATATGAGAGCGTTATTTCCATCAGTAGATCTATGGTGAAGTTAAACAAAAATGAAGAAAGTGGACAGCCTTGACGGACACCACTTGAGGTTGCAAAAGCAGATGACAGTTCACCATAAGCTCTGACTCGACTAGTAGTGTTCGAGTAAAGAGCCTTCACAAGGTTTATGTACTTCTGAGGTACGCCTTTCAATGACAGACACTGCCACAGAATCTCGCGGTCTACAGAGTCAAATGCTGCTTTTAAGTCAAGAAAGACCACAATTGTCGGACGCCGATAAGTATGCCTATGTTCTAGAACCTGACAAATGGTGAATATGTGGTCGATATATGTATGGAAACAGAATGCCAACGAGCATAAGCATAAATGCGCTCATTTTCTCAGATAATCTTTTATTAGTTAAATGATATGAAAATAAGGCGTAGACAATGATGTACCGGTTCCAATGACCGTATTTTCATACAACATTCCAATGAAACCCTGTACAACATGATATACAGAGGAACTAAAGCTAGTGGATATGAGCAACTAGTACGTATAAAATGAATGATTAAACAGTGGACATGGTTATATAAAAGTGTATGTTTTTCGTCAAAACCATTACACTTCATTAAGAACTGCAAAGACAAACAACGATAAAACTATGTTTTCAAAACAATGAAAAAACTGAAAATAAACAGTAAAGGGAACAAAACAATAAGATGCTCGCTAGTCGTAGTCAGATAGAGTGGATTTACCTGAATCATCATCTCCCGGACACTGCCTGAGGTCATGGTGCCACACAAGATTAACTTAATGATCTAATTATTTCATAGGTTGATGCCGTTTTTTATCCTATTACCCATTATCAGTACAACCAATATAGAATTTTCAGTTAACCAAGAACTGAAATATAATCCAATCATGCTCATTCGAGTTAGCTACCTCAAATTTCTGCGTGGTCTTCTCAACCTAACACAAACATTGACCTAATGATTTTACAGTACTCCAGTTGTCGTTTGAGATCATTACTGACGAAATAGTTGTAACTTTCGCTTGTCAGATAAATTTTACATACTTTATGCTCATTAGCTGAAAGCGAACCAAAGTTATCTTCTCTTTTAAGGTTAACTTCATGACATTCTACTGTCCAGGTGATTGCGATCACTAATTACAGACATATCTGAGTTCAAATTTGCAACTGACGACTTTGTTCTAGCATTGTTTCTCTTTCTCGGTAAAATATTTAATTACCTAGGGCTTAAAACCCCATAATTTTATCTATTTAAACTCACAAATCCTCAGCCGTTCATTCAGATATTTTCAAATCTCATTCCCATTTAGCTATAATTCATTGGTCTAAGCATTATCCTTTCAATCACCAAGTTATAGATTCGGATACTACCCCAATCTCGGCACCCAACTTAAAATACATAAAAATTGCCTGAAAATAATTCTCACTGCCTAAGACCCATTATATCGTCCAAGCACTTCGGTGACATAAACTATTTTACGTATACGGAACAATAATTTGCCCAATCTTTTCAAAAATCCTCATCAGCAAGACAAAAACAAACAGTTACTATAAATAATCATACACATTTTCTTCATATTCTTATAAACTTAGTGTTATTTAATTCATCAAGCTTAGTGATGAGTTATTTACAGTCAATTATCCAATCTCTAAAAAATGCAAAACAAATTCCTATTATATAATGCTTATCTCTCCCATAGTTACCGGAAATTTATTTATTTATTTGAACCCAAATATTGGTACAAAGGGGCACAAATCACTTGATTTGTGTATGATATGTGATACTACCCGGGTGCCCAGACCGAAGCAGGTGGTATTCTTAGCGGGCCATACCTGGAGCCGTTCACCTAAAGTTTGATCCATGAGGCAGTGAAGCAACGTCAGGAGATGCAGTTCCATGGTAGCCGGTAGCCAATGATTGGTTAATACACCATTTGTTCCTTCAGAATACTGGAGCCCATGTGCACCGTTGGTTTGGAATCAGGGTTTTCCAACTCCTCTAGGTGAATCCTCCATATCTATCAACCTGGTTAAAGCTCCGGACATTCGCTTTTCGTCCTCTCAACTTCGTAAACAACACCCTCGCCTCGCGAAGGCAGCGATTAGGACTTCCCTGACAGTGGCCGTATACTCGTGAGAGCATTTGGAGAGAAACAGATAACTCTCCCCACCCTCGGCCGTACCAGGGCACTACTAAGCAACCATCTTAGGTTTTTAGTGTTTATTTATAGTAGAATAATTGCAACTGTTACTGTAGCAAGTTTTTCATCTATTTCTATTGATATATTGTAATTTAGATATCTCAGTTGAATCTTAAATTGGGTCCGATAATAAATACTCATTTGCATGCTGATCACGTAACTGGCAGTGGGTTGTTAAAGCGAATTCCTGGATCTTTCAGTGTATTGTCGCACTATGATGGAGTCAAAGTTGACAAGATAATAAAACATGGAGATGTTATTAAGTTTGGAAATTTCGAATTAGAATGTCGAAGTACTCCAGGTAGGCTCGTATTAAAGCCACCTTTAATTTTATTTGTGACTGTAGTTGATCATTTTTTTACTTTCTAAGGTTAAATGTAGCAAATATACAGAATTCACTTCTATTTTCAGTTCATCGTTTTTTAAAAATCTATAATGTATTGCATTACTCGTAATTGTAATAGAACTGAACGACATTTTTATTACGTAGCTCTTTAAACTTATATGTTGACTCCATTGTTATTACCATTATCAATGCCTTATATTAACTTCATAGGGCATACATCAGGTTGTATGACGCTAGTATTGCATTCCGCTGGTGTTGCTTTCACTGGTGACACACTTTTAATTCGTGGTTGTGGAAGAACAGATTTTCAAGGAGGCTCAGCTGAGACATTATATGATTCAGTCTATTCACAAATCTTTACTCTTCCAAATGACTATACATTGTTTCCTGCTCATGATTATTTAGGCAACACTATGACTACTGTTGGTGAGGAGAAGGCATTTAATCCTCGGTAAGTTTATATATATATACTAAATCTGAAACTTGTATGTATTGAATTTTCAGCATACACGCACACTAATCGTTCCGCAGATATTAACATATTCTAAATATCTGTGATATGTTTCAAACTAATCTTGTTTTAATTTTTAGGTGTATGCGGCTGAGTTTCTCTCTAGACTAAACGAAGTTCTCATTGCGATAGTCAGTGGTAGACAAATTCCCAATTTATGTTTTCTTCAATTGCGTTTACCAGTTTACATGTGCATGTCAAATCATCTACATCAGAAGAATAGAAAGTAGGGTCAGTATCCGCATGTATGAACACATTCCATCAAATTTGCGACCAAGAACAGGAATTTTTCGACAGTGCAGTTGCTTGACATTTGTTTAACATTGAACATAATGTTGATGCTTAAAAGTCCTTAGGAAATATCAATGTGCACGAAAATTAAAATTTCTTGCGTTTTGCTGGAGCCACTGTAATAAAAAGATTGAAATGGAATTTCTGTATCCATAACGATACCGTTCTCAATTTTGTTTTGCCTTGGTGACCTCGTTTACATGAAGTTACTGTGCGAGATTTTTCCCCATGACCCTAATCACGATTTCCACTATCTTATTCCTTATTATGAGCTTTATTCACCTAGTTTATATTGATTAAACTGTTACTTAATTTATGGCATTAATCTACGATCTCGCGGAAAAATTGTTTCCCTGTCCCCAGTTTTCTCTTCTAGAATATTTATATATTTGACCTATAAGTAAGCAAACGCCTGAACAATATTTGATTCTTCCACAATTATCATCACTGATTATTCTATATCTCCAACTCAAGGTTATTCAAAACTTATGAAGAATGGATACCTGAGTCTTTTTTAAGGATTAGTGCCGGGTTTTATACAGATAATTAGGAACTGTGAAATATAATGAATTCATATTGTTCTATTACATTCTCTGTTCTTTCTTACTCAAACTTACAAATAGATCAGAAACCGTATGAAAGGTTACATCCCCTGAATAATGCACATTATGTTGTGATCTGTTACACATTGAAGTACTCATCTCATTGCATTAATTTTACACAAACCTCTAGTTCTGGCCTGATATTATCGAAACCTAGCTCCACTATGCAGAACCTTGCTTACACGAGCACAGTGTGGCAGACCCGTGTTCTCAATTCCTCTCAGTAGTGAAGGCAGTACCGCGCGATTTAAATGGGTGATTTATACCTGGTATGTCTACTAGTGATGTTTCCTAATCTTCCACAATACCGAATTGAAACACGGCTCAAGAATAAAAGTATTGCTATCCATTAAGGAGGTCAGTGGTCAACGAACTCCCTACGTTGGCCTCTTAAGACAACTCTTCCTATCTAAGCTTGATTGGTGTTGGTACTACGACAACGAAGACGAGATGGCGGGTTTTCTTCATCACCTCAGTGCTGTATAACACGGCTATGTCCACCGGCTACGGTTGCCGACTTTATAAAGATAGAATATATAAATAGGCTGGAAAATCCTAAGACACAAAGTAATATGATATTTAAAAAATATATGATGTTATGACAAAAAGCAGACTCACAGTTTATCGTTTGGCATACTAGATCACATTGACCACACTATGGATATTCCGGGTTTGACAATGCTTTTGTCCGTAGCATCTTTTTGATTGAATGTTCCCGAAGAAATGAAGGGGGTTCAAAGATATATTTGAAAGGTTGTCAATATATGGAGAAGAGTCTGACTTAAGCTAGTTACTTGCTGCGAGAGATGCGTAGGACGGCCTACCTAATTGGGATCTGTTGCGGATGCATGACTAATCACCTTCAATTAAAATGTGTCCGGTTAAACTAATGAGTTCAGTATTATTGTCGAAAACTTAAAAACTATCTATTTGGGGATCTACTTACTACTACTATGGAAATTTACTGCCTTGTCTTAAAATTTATTCAACCTATCATGTACACGTTCTATTCTTTATAAATATCAGTGTTAATCTAATTTAACATTTAAAATGTATTCATTTCTTACTAATTGTCAACTTAAATATCCGCTTTGATCTAACATATGTTATATCTTAAAAGTTGATTTCTCGATATACCACGAATAACTGAGCACTAGAACACCAAAACCCTTCCAAGTCGCAATAAGAAGACAGAAGACTAACGAAAGGAATATTATTCCAAACAGTGTCAATCATAGTACAAAATTGTCAGGTATTTATAGTTTTTAGTGAGAACGAAATCATCATTACAGTCTTCCAATCCACATACAGGGGGTTGTTAGCATTATCCAATCGGGGAGCTACACGTTGGAATTCTAGAACATTCTTCGGAAAGGTGATTGGATGGGACGTCTTCGGCTCCTTCTGAGCCTCTTACAGCTCCCTCGAGTTCACCGGTGGTCCGTCGTCACATCTCCCCCCTTTAAAGTCCGTTGTGTAGGATTTTTTTCTTGGATCCACCTGAAGCTTGGGTGTCGCATTCCTCTTGCGGTTCATTACTCTCGAGGGTTGTACAGCTTTCTCTCTGCGTCGTTTGTCTTTTCGATATTTGCGCTCATGATGGTTCTTCTGAGATGAATCTACAAGCAACTGAAATGGGAGCCGGTTTTCTGTGACCACTGTACTATCATTTCTTTGCATTTGATTTATATGTCTTATGCATTTTCCGACACCTTTCCGGACTAGGTACAGTACATTTCCGATTCGACGTTCTATGACACCTGGTTCCCACTTCCTATTATTTTGATACGATCTGACAAGTACCTTTTCACCCACCTGGATGCTACGATTGACCTTACGATCTTCATTCGTGGGTTTATTTGTCTTTCTGGGCGGCAACATACTGTTAAAGACTGTCCGGATTTTCCTTCCGAACATACACTCGGCCGGAGACTTTCCTTCTGGTACTGTCGGATTAGGGGTAACTCTGTAAGACATCAAGAACTTATTAATCACTTGTTCCGGGATACCCTCACCTCCCCCTTTGACCAGAGCTCTTTTAATCGTATCCACGAATCTTTCTGCCTGGCCATTCGACTGAGGATGGTACGGAGGAGATTGTAGATGCAATATGCCATTTTCACTGCAAAAAGCGTTTGAAGGCGGATGACATAAACTGAGTACCATTATCGGTCATTAAGATCTCTGGAACCCCAAAACAAACAAACAATCCTGACAATCTTCTTATTGTACTCTCTGAAGTCGTATTCGGCATGTCATATACTTCTGGCCATTTTGTGAAAGCATCTACAACAACTAAGTAATTCCTGCCTTGTATTGGTCCTGCGAAATCGGCATGTATTCTTGCCAAGGCCCGTCCGGTTTAGGCCATGGTTGTGGTTCAGCTTTCGTTGGATCATCCAATAATAATGATTCAATCCAATTAATTTCAGTTTAAAATTTCAAAACTGTTCTATTCTGCTCTCTTTTTCATATTCATATTCATTTTAATTTTTTAGATTAACTAAAACCAAAATTGAATTTGTTAAAATTATGAATGAATTAAATCTTCCGTTACCTAAACAAATGGAACGCGCTATTCCATTGAATCTAAAATGTGGTATCAATGATGAATAATGTCAAATGATTCTGAAGTAATATATCCATTTGTTTGTTTGTTTATTTGTTTATTTATTTCTCTCAGTCAGTTTACTTAACTTTGTTCAAAAAATGTCCATTTTTTAAAATTAAAAAATCAGGTTACTTTATCCGTAACTTAGTGAAATACTCATTTCCAAAAAGGAAACATCTCCATATAAGTGACTTACATCTATTATAAACATCTTATTTCCATTCATTAAGAGAAACACTTTAAGTTTTGTTTACAATATTATTTCTATTATATAAAATTGTCTTCCATTGTTTTTATTAGATATTGATTTAAGCCTAAATTTTAATGGTTTAGTTTTCAATTGATCAAAATTCAATAATCTATTTTGTGCACTAAATCTTTAACCATTAATATTGATTTAATGCGTTGTTGTTGTTGTTGTTTTTCATTATTTTTCCTTATATCTCTTCTTATCTGTCAATATAATTGATTAAATCATTATGATTCCTAATATTGATTACTTCTTATTTATGTGTGATAATAATCATCCGCTCACTAGTGACTGACTTCAAAAGATACTCCTGGAGTTCTAGCGAGATGCCGTTACCAGTGGAGTTCAACCAGGTTTGTTGTGAAATATCAACTCAATGAAGACAATGGTGTACGGTGGCGCAACTTCGTGGATTGGTTGAAGTTAGACATTTACACCATTGGATGCCGGCTCAGTGGTCTAGTTGGTTAAGCAAGACTGGCGTGAGACTGATAGGTCCTGGGTTCGACTCTCGCGGGGTGTGGGATCGTGGATGCGCACTGCTGAGGAGTCCCACAATAGGACGAAACGGGCGTCCAGTACTTCCAGGTTTTCCATGATGGTCTAGCTTCAATTGACTCATGATTTCAATCAGTGAAATTTCTAAAATCTCCACAAACCCCTTCTGATAAGTATGCATTAATCAAGGTTTAATTTTCTAGGAGAAATCAAAGTAAAATTTATTTATTAAACATTATCTGATAAATTAATTGATTCAATATGATAGGATGACAGTAACGATTAAAAGCTCTGTTGTGTGCTGTGGTCTGATTTAGTTACACTTCCTACAGTTGACTAGACCCATTACACAAATGGCCCTCGAATGGCCTGGTACAACCGAGAGTGCGGAGAGTTAGCTCTCCCTCTCCAAATGCTCTTATATGGCCACGTGCCTAAAACCACTGCCAGGGAAGTCCTACTCACTGCCTTCTCGTGACCGGAGGTGTTGTTCACGAAATTGAGAGGACGAAAAGCGAATAACCGACGCTCTAAACGGGTTGGTGGACACAGAGAGTCCACCTAGAAGAGTTGGAAAACCCTGATTCCAAACCAATGGTGCAAATGGGTCTCAGTGTCCTGAAGGAACAAATGGCGTATGAACCAATTGCTGTTCATCGGCTGCCATGGGACTGCATCTGTCGACGTCGCTCCACTGCCTTATGGATCAGACCTTAGGTCAAAGGCTCAGGGTGTGGCCCCTAAGAAATCCACCTGCTTCTGTTTGGGCACCCGGGCAGTATCCCAGCTCTCACACAAATCGAATGACTTATGTGGTACATATCTATTTGGTGCCTACTTGTACCAATGGTTATGTGTTTAAATAAATAAAATTACATTGACCGGGTGCATGATCATCTACTTTCAATAGCGTATCTCATCTATTGTTAGGTCTTGAGACGACTCATCAATTGTCCGGCTTCTGCAAATCCATTTGATGTATCAAGACTCCTCCAACAAATTAAGCTCGTGAACCGCTCCATGTGATTTGATACGGAAGGAGAATAAGTTATCATCATTAATTCTTACGCAAAATTTGTAGCTCAAAGCTGAATGCACAAACATTTTTTCTTAGTTATTGAGATGAATAAGCTTTAACGTTGTAGTGCAATTCAACCAGTAAGTTGCAGATAAATACCTTCCCTTACTTCCAATGGTTTGCGGACCCGTTTAGTATTACTGGGCCTCATACATAAAATTTGACAATATATCCATAAAAAGTAAGTATAAGGAAGCAACGGATAAGTGAGTTACACTTAATTAATTATTAAGTTACTACCATCTTAATGTCCTCATAAATGTATTGAACCACTCAATATTATGACGACCTTTGAGCAAAAACTTAGTTTAAATAAGTGTGTAAAAGTCTCTCTATGGTAATTGGCCCTAGAAAACAAATTAACGAAACAACTCAATTTCAGACAAAGAATTTATGCATATATGACTGTGATCAATATTATACATTAAGGTAAACGAGTCGATTGTTTTTTTATGCCAGTCGGTAATTAAAATTAGGGGCGTTTGAAAAGGGTGACATCAAAATGACTGGTTCTCTCTCCTTACCCTTAAAGATTATTTTTTAGAGTCCAGTTATAAATATTAAAAAAAAACAGTGGTTGGTATCGATGCCGTTATATGTCATCATATAATCTATGCACACTTTTTTCCTACAGATACATTAAGATATGACATTCAGAGAAATTAATTATCTCCTCGTGTAACTAGCTTCGAGATTGGATTTAATTTAATGATACGCGGTCATTAGAGCTCAATGTTATTGAAAAGTAATCACTGCACAAATTGTTGGCTTTCATATCCTTAGAACAACAATCATCGAGTATGCCATTTTTTAAATTCTCGATATTATTGAGGGACAGACTTTGAGGACTGCAAAATGGGAAGGAAGGTATGGAGAATTGTTCATCATTATGATGACAGTTAAAAATAACAAATTCAAGCCACGGTTATTTTAATGTTATTTGTACGGTACATGACTTCATGTTCAATGTTTTTTCTGGTTTTCGGTATAATGGAAGAGATTTGTAGCTTAAGATGAGGATTTAAGTCAAGTTGTACTGTTATAACCCAGTGAAGATTAAGTTACAGGTAACTTCCGAGGACTGTTAATAGACTAATATTCTATAATTATTCTTATTGTATAATTATTCAATAATTACATTGTTTATATTCTCCTTATTATAAGCTTTATTTTGACCTATAATTTATTACTATACGATTTACGGTTCTTAATCTATGTTCAGTCTGTTAATTACTATCTCCCGCGTTCACAGCCACTTTTTGGCTTATTTGTGTACACATGTTATTTTCTATTTTATGGTACGTTGTGGTGTATCTGATTGGTATATAAACAGAGTATGTTTTAAATACATAATTCATATTGCGGAAGCTGGTATTGTTTTTTTTTGGACTCAAGCAGACGGGCTAGAAGGACCTCGGACCAACAAGGCGCTAGACTGCCCACACCGGTTGAAAGTCATTGGTTGGTATAGAGTGGAGATTTGTATAAGTCGTATTCTGATTGGTGGATAATTCGCGTGGTAGAAAGGCCAGACATCAAGGTCATAACATGTACTTTGTAAGCTGGATGGTGTAATCGTGATGCATTCATTTTTAGAGAAGATCGATATTCTGAGGAAGCCAAGTTATTCTCATGGAAATAGTATACATCCTTCTACGTACCTGCCTTGTTAGCTGACTGTGAATATTCAGCAACATCATATATTGAAATTCTGAAATGTATTCATCGATAGTTTAATGGCAACATTCGGATCGTTCCAATCTTGTCAACCGCAACTACTAATAATATATGCATTTTGGTCAGTAAAATTAAAACATATATAATATATATATCGTTCTATCACTAAGTGAATAGTTACTACGTGTAAGCGATAATAAAAGTGTATTTTCAAATATAAATTTGATCGCTTATTCGTTATTTATCTTGGTCGAGGTTATCTACAGCTTACAACTAATGTTTAATGTTTAACATTTATTGGATAAGTGTAATTCTTATTAATGGTTTCATTTCAAATATATAACTCATTCTATTTTTTGTTTACTATCCACCATGTTAGGCTATACTAAAATGATGTGTTTACATAACACAATAATTGGATTATTCGAAATGAAACCTCTAGTGTAAATTACATTAATGTGTTACACTCACCTACCAGATGAACGGTAAAATAATCGATACAGCACGTTTATCGAATATTAAAAAAAGGGTGATGATAATCCCATTTGTAATGTTCGCTAGATTTTAAAATAAAACATATCTGAAAATGAAAAGTTATAACATTTATTATATGAGATAATTATTCAATTGATGATATAAGGCTTATGAGAAATTGTTATAACTTGTGCCCTATTAAATATATAACGTGGTGATACCGCCAATGAGACAACACTGGCTTATTGACCAGACCAATGATGTATGGACCCGTACGAGCATTTTAGAGTCTTTATCGGTCTTCCTGTTTCGCCCTGTCTGTTAAGTTCAGAACACCAATCTCAGCCTCCGCGGCATGAATCATGTATTTCAAACATATCGGGTTTATATACAAACCGAATAGACGTCACACTACAAAATAGAAAACAACATTTGTACAAGATCTAGCCAAAAGTGGCTGTGATTGTGGGAAAATGTAATTAATAGACTGTTCTGTGAAACAGTGTTTTGACAAGTGCCTTTTTATAATTGATTGGAAAAAAGCTGTTGAAATTGAGATAAATACCATTCCATGTGTCTTTCTTATAAACTGAGCGTTGAACTGTGCCATCCTTTCTTCGTTTTATCGCTATATCCTACCTCTACCAGCAATAGAATTCAAACGACTATTACTCTTGTGTGAAGATAAAATACCCAAAGAAACTACAGTAAATAAAAAACCTGTTTTTATTCAACTCAAATTCAAAGGCGATAATGTCACAGGGTCAATCAATATGAGACTAAAAACTGCATTGACAAAAACATATCCTTCAGCTAAATTGATTGTCCTGTCCAAAACGACATGTTCTTTGACACAATCAAAGGTCGACAGGTATCCCTTTCATGTTACCACCAACTGTGTATACAAATTTACATGTATCTGCCAAAGCAGTTACATTGGTAGAACAGAAAGGAGAGCCTACGTCCGATTCAAAGAACATATTCCGAAGAGTTTGAGATCAAACGGACTAAAAGCATTTAGCAGCGCTGTCGCAAGACATCTCCTTGACACAGGACACGAAGTTGATATACTGAAGTCCTTCAAGGTGATCAACAAACAATCAAATTCAAACCTTTTGAAATTCGCCGAAGCAATATTAATCAAATGTTTAAAACTAGATCTTTGTATACAAAAAGAAACAGTAATAAATCTTCCTTTGCCCTAGTAACATTCACCCCACCCCCTTTTATTTATTACGTCATTCCAACTCTCTGAATTTTATAATTACATCATTCATAACTGACCAATTTCAATTCATATCTCTCTTTATTAACATCAATTTATTTTCAGTTGTTTCATTGCATAATAATCTTATGTGTTTTAATTCCATGATTTCTAATCACTAATTCAAGGTTCTGGAACCTTCCCTCCCAAACTCTATATATTCGAAACAAAATTTTATGACCTCATTAACTTTAACGAAATCTTTGATACATTATGTTACATATATTCATCCTTCATCGCCCTCTGTTGTATAAGTATGTCAATATCTATAATAACGTTGAATTTCAAATATTTTAGGTTGTAAGCAGCTGATGAGAACCTAACGAAATAAAATGAATTCATATTATTCTGCACTAACCTTTGTTCTTGCTCTCTTTAAAAAATACAATTATGTCCAAAACTGGGAATTAGGGTAGGAAATAAGGTGCAAAATATTATATTTAAATTATAATAGCTTCGAAACAAAAAGGGGTATGGCAATAAATGATACATCGAACGAATGCTCATGTTCTGTAGAATAAAATAGTGAAAAAAATAAATGTGTTTTACAACCTCTGAATAAAATGAAATAACTTCCCGAAAAATAGCTTTCGTAGTTTGCCAGCGTTTCTTTTTTCCCTGTTCACATCACTGTTACTTAATAATTACACAATAAAAATATATGTATCGTATTGATCCAGAAATAGTTCTCAAAACTTACTGTTCATAATTCTCGTCGGGATATAACAGAAAGATAAAATTTACGAACTGGGTAGAAGAGGAACCGAGCTTAGTTACTACTAGTGAAACAAGATTAATAGGCTTAATGGACATTTAGATCTTGATAATTCCTCGAAAATGTGTTTTGAAGCCGCGAAGTTCCTGGAAATAGTTTGTGTAAACAAGAATCTCTAGAAAATTCTGGAAGACTGTAAATCATAAAATGTCATTATTCTGAATGAATAATTGCTAAAACTTTTATCGATATTAGTGCGTCTTTCAGATGTTTGTATAATCTCGTCAATAGTTTTATTTTTTTAATATATAATAACCTTTAAAATCATCCTGCTTCCATACTACCAACGTTCTGTTTACTGTTCTGATTTCAAGAGTATTAGAGTATTATGGACTAGGAAGTCGATTACAAATCGCTCACTTATTAGACATACCTTAAAAATTTAATAAAATCTGAAAAAAAATTTAAACTGTTGGTTTCTGTGCATTGAATGTACTTCGTTTGCAGTGTGAAATGCGTGATATGTAAATATCATGTGAGCTTAGGTACCCTAAGGTGGTGAGTTGAGCAGTTCTTAGTTAAGAATTTAAAACCGTTCACAACTTCCATATTTTGGGCTGTACTTATAACTAATAGTAAGTTGAAAAATACTTAATGTTTACAAATTTTCTATAAAAAGAATAATAGCTAGTGAGCTTACCTTGTGTAATCACTAAAAACTTACCTACCGGAAACCTGTGGGGAACGAAATATTTTTGAAATCTAATATTGTTGTTAGGAATATAATTTAGTAACTTAAGTGATATCATTACAACTAAATAATTGTTTGAATTCTCCTTTAAAAATGAAGAACGTTGATAATAATCACTAATTTAAACGCTGTTTTATAAATACAAGGGCATTCCGTAAGACTCTCCTAAATTTACCACAACTATTCCCGAACGAAGTAATCTATCAAGGAATATCAACCAACAATTTAAAGTCTTGAGTCAAACATGAGAAAAGCTCTGTCACATTATTCTATCACACATTTTCAGACTGTTTAGTAAGAAAGCTCGGACATTATGTTGTAGCATCTTGACTACTAACAAAGTGTAAGTAGTAAAATGTTATTACAAAACAGTTATTGGTGAAACATGCAAATTCAGAATAAATTTCTTGTAAAATGTGTTTAAATTTAGATTGACAGTCAAAGTTAAGTAAACATACTATAAAATTATGCACCAACAGTTTTGAAAGAGAATTAAATTACTCTAAGTCAAAGGAAAAGTCTGATATTTTTGTTCAGCACAAAATCTAATGCATAGAATAATTGTCATTAGAAAAAAGGCAGGCGTTACTTGGTCGTTTAACTGTTTACGCGCTTTTCGCTTGTACTGTTATACCTAACATCGTTCTGTTGACACTTTTATGTGAAACATATGCAATACATCAGCCGATTGGACTATTTTTATCGACGATAATATTGTATCGATTTCGAAAATATGGTGTATCTTAAATGGGCTATTTTGGTGCAAGTGTTAAAATTCGCTTGCAGATGTTAGGAGGAGTTAATTGACTACTTTTTCAACCTATCAACTTAGCCAAGTAGTTGAATTTACAAAAAGAGTCATTTGTTTTTAAATCCATGCTCATCCAAAGCAAACTTCTAACAAACGTGATTTGAATACCTCGTTAATAAGAAACATCTGATACATCATAAAATTTCAGTATTTAATTTTCTATAAGTTACTACTAAGAAGAACGTTTTGAAAGTGATTTTCTCTTAAACCTTAAATTCCAATTCATTAACTATAAAAATGAGTCGAATCCCTTCACAGTAAGGTTAGTATAGCCTACTTTTATGTAACAATTATCCACTTTGGACGCCAGAAAACAACTCCAATCATAAGTATGATATTAGTTACACCTTTTTTGAATGATTCGTAAAATTTAAAAGACATTTTATGAATAAAAACAAAATCATCTCATTAATTTAAATCAAAATCATAAATGAAAATTTAGTCTTATAAATCAGAAGGGGTTTGTGGAGATTTTAGAAATTTCACTGATTGAAATCACGAGTCAGTTGAAGCTAGATCACCATGGGAAACCAAGAAGCGCTGGACGGCCACAATCCCGCACCCCGCGAGAGTCGAACCCATGACCTGTCAGTCTCACGCCAGTCTTACTTAACCAACTAGACCACTGAGCCGGCATCGAATGGTGTTAATGTCTAACTTCAACCAATCCACGAAGTTGCGCCACCGTACACCATTGTCTTCATTGAGTTGATATCTCACAACAAACCTGGTTGAACTCCACTGGTAACGGCTTCTCATTAGAACTCCAAGAAATACCTCGCCGGGTGTGGGATCGTGGGTGCGCACTGCTGAGGTGTCGCATACTAGAACAAAACGGCCGTCCAATGCTTCCAGGTTTCCCATGGTTGTCTAGCTTCAATTAACTCATGATTTCAGTCTGTGAAATTTCTTATAAATCAATCGAAAAATACCAAAAACATGATTGGATGAAAATTCAACCAATCAGAATTAAACCATGTAAAAGGAAATAATTCCCTATAAATTGTTCAGTTTTTAATACCTTAAACAATTTAATGTGAAAAATGAAACAACCACTTTCTAACGATTTGGTGGAAGTTTTAATTAAACCAAATAATATGAGAACAGCAATTGAAATAAGGCATATAGCATTATGGTTTAAAGAAAATATTTTGGCATTTAAAGATGTTTCTGTAGGTATGTTTACTTAAACAATTTTGATATTATCGTATATAATCAATTGAAATTTATTTTGATTACCTAAGATCATATTGAAATTTGTAATTATACATTAAGAATTGGTATTACTAAAATAAACACCGAAAATCAAATGTACTGGACTACTGTTTCAATGTATACTTGGAAAACTTCAACAACCACCATCAAGAAGGTACAAGTATTTATAAATGGTTGTCTACGCAAGATACTCAACATCCATTGGCCGGATATGATCAGCAACAGCCTTTTGTGGGAGAGAACAAACCAGCTTCCAGCTGAAGAAGAAATTAGGGAAAGATGATGGAAGTGGATGGGACATACATTGCTTAAATCATCAAACTGTATCACGAGGCAAGCCCTAACTTGGAATCCTGAAGAGGAGCGGAAAAGAGGAAGGCCAAAGAACACATTACGTCGGGAAATAGAAGTAGATATGAAAAGGATGAATAACAACTAGAAGGAGCTGGAAAGGATTGCCCAGGACATTGTTGGATGACTAATGCTGGTGGGTGGCCTATGCTCCTTCACCATGAGTAACAGGCGTAAGTAAGTACTGTTTCAATGTATTATGTAAGACTACGCAACAGTGAATCTCTACAAAAAACCGGCAGTTGGTTCACATTCTTATCTGCAACTGATTAATTATATATGATGTGATCAATAGTGATATGGCTGCATCTCCTTCACAACGGTAACAGTATGATTTAACATAGATAAATTGAATCAATGAATTAATCTTTGATACTACGTATTTCAATTTCTTGTTTATTATTTTGGTTCTGTATGTACTCATCTGCTGAATCAATTGGTCAGTATTAATGATTATAATATCTTATATTTCACGAAATAGATATTAATCTTTTATAGATAAAACAACAATTATTTAGTGACACAAATAGTTCAATTGTGTTCAGATCAAGAAGTCAACTGGATTGTGTTTAAAAACTCTTGATAAATAGTGGCCTAACTTACACTGACCCATGAATTCAACTAATAAAATATAGATTTATCAGTAAGGGGTTGTGGAGATTGTTAAATCTTTTTTGAAATCAAGAATCGATCTAAGTTAGACAACCATTAAAATCCTGGACTCACTCACTACTTCTGATTACCACAGTAACAATTAATATAAACTCAATACAGCTATCAACTATCTCTCATGTGCATAACAATAAACAGTTTAAAGAAGATTTGCTAAACTTTCAGTCAAATATTGTAATCTGTAATGATGAAGTAATCATATAACTTAGTGATTTAGTTATAGTTTTTGGTTATAGCAGATTCATCATAAAATACCATAAATTATCTTCATCTATTTTGATTATTGATTAATGAATGCCTACTAATGCCCAGTTCAATGGATTTAAATTTCAACTATTGATTAGTATAATCGAAGTAAATTAAACTTAATGTACTTGAACATAAGTTTTTCCCTGTTTTTAGTTTATAATAACCCTTCATCTGTCTGTCTTCTTTAACTTACATCGAACCATTTCAGTTTCTGCTAAGTTATATATAATATGATTAATAGATTTCAACTAATTCAAGTGTAAGATTATCATTAAATGATTAATTTGAATGATGCTTGTTCATAATCAGTAATTTGCTGAGGTTGAAAGAAGTGAACTTTTGGCGTTGTGTACATACTACTGATGAGTCGTAAACTATGAAATGATAGCATTTTCTAGCTTTTATTAGTTCTTCAGATAATGTTAATCTTTGATGAAAACTATCTTCAAATTTCACTTAATTGTTGTTTAGAACTGCAACTGACCAGTCTCTTGTTGGTATAGATGCATTCTGTGCGGGTTTCTTCGATACTGTGACTTAAGGCAACATCGAGGCACTCCGCACTAGATGCACATATGCCAACAACAGACTGATCAATTGCAGTCCTAAACAACAATGGGAAGATACAAGCAAATAACACCAAACGAATTTAAACTTCACCGCAATGGCTATCAGGACATAATAGTTAAGTGCATAACGCGATGACGTTGTGGAGTGAAGATCAACTCTGGGATGCAGGTACATCTAGCCGACGAGTCCCAAATAGGACAAAACGCGCATTATGGATTCCACTCCTAGCCACTATCTATCTTTGCTTAAAATATCTTCAGATTTATTTGGCTTTTTTACGAAGTTTATAATAAGGTTTGCTTTATAAATCAAATATGATAATGCGATTCTTTGAAACATCATGTTTGTTAGATCCATGCAACAAAATTAACTGTCGTAAGTAGAAATTGAATTATCAACGTTTAAAACGTTCTTAATAATTCTGTTCCAGTCGGTTGCATGAATAATCAGCTAATGAAATCAATGTTCAACAATGAAACAAAGTACAAGAGATAGGAATATAAGAACAAATTAATACAATATGTGCTTTATGATATGGTTAAGCATTTAATAAGTTATTAATAACTATGTGAGAAGTCATTCTAAGAATTCTAAATGAGAAGCCATAGCCAGTGAAGTTTATTTATGCTGAGAGTGAAGCTGTTGCTCACCAATAGAGCTTGAAGGTGACTGCACACTATGGTGAGTTGATTAAGGTTAAAAATGTAAATAACTTGATACTCACTTTAAGGTCTAAAGGTAATACTCTCAAGGTGAGACCTAATAATACTGAATTCAATCCCTTTAAGATTATGCGAATCCACAACTAAGTAGTTCCATATTGGTAGGAAACAATTACCCAATGCTCTCTGGTTTTAAATCAAGTTTTCAGTTAAGGTCAATCGGCGCTGTTAACTACTTTGAAATTATTGAAGTAACAGGATATAAAGTCACCTCAATATCTCCGTAGAAAATTGCGTGAAAAAGTTCAGATTAAAGAGAAGGAGTTTCATTGAGAATTCAAGCTCCCTCGGAAATCAAACAATTATAAAGAAGTGCCTTGCTATCTCTAAACGGAAGCAACAAAACTTAAAAATTATATAAATCAAGTCAAAAGTATCACTGTTTTACCAATGTCATAACATTTCTCACCGGAGCTGATATGAACTGGTAATAATTAAGCCTAATAGTAAGACATTAATAACATTAGACAGTTGACATATCCTCCAATCGTTTATTTGTTAAATGACTAGTTATCATCCTCATTTAATGGTTTACATATATTTTTTTTTTCAGAGATACTCATGAAACTGGTAGCTGAATGTAAAGCAGAATTCAAATATCCCCATGACATAATAATTCGAGAAGGTGATATTGGTGACTGGTAAGCTCTTTTTTCCATTATATGATATGAGGTGGCCTCCATGACTTTCCTCATCAATAAGACAAATTATAATGAATGACCAAAATAATTTATGTTCATATCCATTAATGTAGTAAGATGAAGTCATATAAAGATCGGATCAAGTTTATCTAAATGAAAGAGGTTATATAGGGTGGATAGTTATGATAATTCTAAAACAACTTCATTCTCAGTAATTGTATGAAGCAATCAGTAATATAGAATTAAATGTATGAAAATTGGTAATACCACTATATTTATCAACCACAGTACAGTTCGATAAGAAAATGGCATTACCATCTCTATACTTAAAGCAGTCTAGTCTGGATATAAAAGATTTAATAAATATAAGTCAGCTTTCAATTTTTGATATTCGTCCCAAAAACGATTTGCTGAATAAAGTTTTGATATGAAACCAAACAGTTCAAAAATGAGTACCAATCTGATAAATATTATACAACTTACATCTACAAGTAATCAAGGAGGATGTTATGGCATTTTTTTCCTCGGACTACCCCAATAATTATGCAAAGGACTATTTTACTCACAAAAAAATTAATCTCGGGTAATAATAGAAGGATCATAACCTTAAAAACCGTAATACCTGTAATATGTATTTACGTTGAATATATCTGAGAAACACAAATGTTTATTAGAAGACTGTAGTTAAAATGTTGTTTATAGCATATTGTTCTACATAGCCATAATATTTGTAAGCACTATGACTGCCAAGCCTAAATAGATTCTGTGAAATGCATAGGTGTCAAATCATAATTAAACTGATGTAGATTAGCTGCTTTTCAAATGTAAATGAAAATGAAAATCTTGTTTCGACACTAAGTGGTTGGAGTTAGTTGGTAGAAAATCCAGAACTTAGGTTTTATGGCAGTTAGGAATCTTCATCAGCGATACGACCTTGAAAGCTTAAAGAAATTGATGCTCTTCGTGAGAACCGAACCCAAATCATCCAGTTTTACAGTCTTCAGTTTTGTCACTTAGCCACATGGTCAGTGATTGACTTAGATATTTACATTAATTTACCACTGAGTGGATGTTTTCATAGTCCCTATGCGCTGATTGAATTCTTTCGGTTAAGTTTTAATGCTTCCACTAGTCAAGGTGACTCAACATGACGTGCACTAAGTTCATAAGTTAGATGTTTGAAAAGAGATCGTAAGAAACCCTGAACCTGGTTGTAATGCTAGTTAACACTTATCATGTGATCATGCAGCGAAATGATCAGCGAAATTACTACTGAGTTTTGATCTCTTCCTAATCTATGAAAACCTTTCTATTCAGATTGAATTGGATATATGATAAATAAAACCCGTAGAAAGTTTCATCAGTTTGTTCCGTAATAATTCACCATTGTACATGTTCAGTCCCCTAGTGAAGAAATTATAACACTAAAGGCTTTCGAAAATGGCTTATAATGACAACTAATGTTAACAGTAATTTTTAAATAATTAGATATACAAAACTACACCCACTGATTATTTGATTTTACCCATGTACTGTTTAGCATGTATATATTACTCTCTGGTCGTGTATCGGTTCATTATCGTGGAGATCAAAGTGCTGTAATAAATGAAGAGATGCATGAATTGATGAATGTTAAATCCAACAGTTTTATACCCGTCAAACAAAATGTTTCAGGCATTATTAACCAAGAGCTCGGACCTCAAGTTGGTCAACTAGGTATATATATTTACGCAATTTTATGTTTATTTCACTGTTTTTCTATACTCAAATGCCTATTTCTGAAGGAAAATCATGTGACTGTTAATAACCGAGATTTAACAAGTAAAAGTTACACATCAAACTTTTAGACCTGGTTTTATGTAGTGATTGATAACACTATTCTTCCTACTGCTAGTATATCTATATTAAATGCAAATCTGTACGGCCGAAAATGAACAAAAAATTATTGTTGAGAAGACAGTAATTATTCAGTGGTCAAAATAGACATTTGAGAAGTTAAATCTTGAAATATTGGAATTGCTCCAAGACAATTAATCACATATTACGGAAGGATTTTTGGAGATTGTAGAATTTTTGTAATTTAAACCACAAACTATTCTTAGAACACCATTGGAAATCTAGAAGCAACGGACATTTATTTCATCTTATTATGGGTCACCTCAGCTGTATACATCCACGACCCCGCACTTGGTAATCGAACCCAGGACCTTTGACCTATCACACCAGTCCCTAACCTATAGACCACTGACCCAACACATGATGGTATTAATATCTAATTAATTATAAAAACGTATTCCAGAATTGCAAAATTAAGTAATAAATTGTGTATAGTAGGAACATATACTGAATTTCTTAACACATAACAGATTGTTACTAAGTGTACTTGTTGTTTGGCTATCATTATCCAACAACTGAATGATTAGATAAGAACTGGGTTTAAGTGCTCCAGAATTTTATTATCTTATAAAAATTAGATTGAATCTAACCAATAATTGAAAACTGTTCCCAGGTTGCAATTTAAATTACCATATTAGGTAATATAATGACTAATTTTTCACATTGTGATTATTTAGATTCCACAGGATGTTTTTGTATTGTGATTGTCAATTAAACACTATTAATGAAAGATTAGAGTAAGGCAAAACCTCATAGTTCCTATATATTTGGTATATGCCTAGTAACTCAACCTAGAACGTGTGTTTCATTCTATCTGGAATTTAGCAGCTAGATGCGCCCATTTCCTAGTGCTGATGTTCACGTAGAGACTTAAACCCATTAACTTTCAATTTAAACACCTAATGAGTTATACATTGAGTTACTGAGTCCAGTTAATTGTTAACTCTTTCAATGGATGTTAAAGTACTATTAAATATATGTAATTTCCCGTTGTCCATATTTAGGACTGTAATTAAATAGTCTCTGTTTCTATATATATTCGTCTTTAATTAGATTACCTTGATGCAACATTATGTTACAATTGAACAATGCTCTGAATATTTGAAACAAAATGTAATGGGTTAGAGTCTTAGTGTGTACATTAACACCGTGATGCTCGTGCATTCAATAAGTGAATCCCATATAAAACGAAATGTGAATCCTTGGTCCAATTGCTAGCCAAATATCAATCTACAATAAAGCATATCACATAAAGTTATGCTGAACTAATCCTTTCAAGATGTACATATGTAAACTAAAACTGATAAAGTTTGGTCCCACAAATCGACAATGATATATTACAAATCCTCATTAAAATCTTACAGTTTGTTTAAAAAATGATTCATTGTAGTCTATAGATCTGGTATTTACAATTGTTGATAGTTATCGACTTCATTCAAATAAGAAAATAAAATTTCTGACTGGAAAACTCCAAATTTCACAAGTTATTTATATGACCTACGAATATCTGAATCTATAGTAATTAGTTCACAAATAATTAGATTGGTTTACATACTTAAGGAAGCACAGTGCTTATCAGTGATTTCTAAGGTATAGCTAATTTTAACTCCTGGTTAAACAAAATGATTTCAAATACCTGAGCGTTAATAAATTCGAGTACGAAGCTGAATAACTTGATTTCGAGTCTTCGAAAGAAACTAAGTATCCTGACTAGTTGCAAATATGTTTTCCTAATGACACTTGATTAAAACCAAGATACCTACGTTAGGTTTAAGTGCATATTAGTTCAATCTTGCCGCCTAAAAGTTAAATCAAATCTTTTTAATACTCATTTGTGTTTTATTGACACGGGGACTATCCGAAAAATACATTTCAATTGTCATTCTTTTTTTTCGGTTTCAAATACCGTATAAACTTTGAAAATAAACCTTCTCTTAACATTAACGACTAATAATCATTCTTCAATAACAATCGAAATCTTAGAGTTTAAACAACAGTTTCTAAAGTTACAATGGAAGTTACGATGAAAGCTCTACGACCAAACCATCCAGCTCAGAGAACAAAACTCCATCAAAATCTTCCACCTGAGCTACAAATTTTATCCACCATCTCAAAAGTTACAATCCACTAAAAGATACAATAACAAACGGTTTTTTAATATTCATTTTACTGTTACAAAAACTAAATATTAAATATAATCAGTATAAAGTACTAGTTCATGATTTAAGCATTCAGACTATAGGGGAAATATATTGTACCAATGATCCAACCAGGTTAACGAGAGATTCAACGCACCATGGCGGATAGGTTTTACCTAGTTAAGAACAATGTAAAATCTACCAATATTTGTTTACAATAGCTCTCAACTTGATAAATTCTACAGGACTAAAGTATACTAACATAGCGACTAGGAGAAAGTGTCTAATTGTTCATGGAAAAAAACAACAGGAAATAAATAGAACTGGTTTTCCGTAATAAATTGTTCATTCGTATCACTTAAACTCCAGTAGAATTATGACACCTTAAAGTTACTCTGAAGGTCACTCAAGGTCGTTGGCATGGCGTGGTGACACTTAAATTCTATTTATGAAATTTCCTGTTAATCGTATGTTGTTAGGTGATCATATTTTTAGCAGACATAAGAGATAGAAAAAATGTCACCACACAACTATTTTTTTAAGTAAAGACCGTTTAAGGTTAATTTCGAAATATCATCCATCATCACTAGCGATATTTTTGGACTCACGATAAGATTAAACTTTGTAAGTCATGGTTTTTCAATAAAACTTATGAACTTCTTCCTCTGACTAGTCTTCACTAGTACATAGATAACTTCACAATCTCCGTGGTTATAATTCATGTCATTCCTTTAAAGCTCTTCATTAGTCAATCTGTGAAACTCGAACAAACAAAGCATCATCATATTTATCTTGGGTTAAATCTAAGAGGCTACAGTCACTATTCTGATTGAACGCTTTTAGGCAAAAAGCATTTGAATTGTTTGTCATATTTTAGCTTATTTCTTTTATATCAAATAATGAAATGAGTTTGTAACTAAATATGATAATCAACTAATGGGATCTCCATTTAGTAGTATTCATTGCTGATCAATTAAAAATGATCTGTCTTACTTGCTTTTCTAAATCATTCATTATTATTCATAGAATTTTATATATTTTCAAGTTTAATGCTTGGAATCAAAATTCTGACCAATCAGTAGCACACCAATGATCTCAACAGTGAACCTTCATGATACATGATAGAATAAAACTGGGGAGTATTAATTCCTTCGAGATTTCAGATACACCTTTCTGATGAGTGAAACATATCAATAAGATCTAGGTTGAGCAAGATTTCCTGTTATCTAACAAATAACTTATATTTTGATTAGTCTCTTTTGGTATATAGAACTATTGAAGAAACAACTTAATAATCTCTATAATATCAATTCATTATATTTTTTTTTCAATAATTCCTAACAGTAGTTACAAACAAAATTGATTCCTCTTCGATTCATTGTTCCACTTTTCAAAATTTATGACAGTACATAAAGGAAAATGCTGCAAATTGTTTAAACCAGTTTACTAATATTCTTAATTCTGGGTTATTACAAAATTTTCATGTGATTTACCTAGAGAATTTTAGTACAGGGTTTTCAGTTTGTTTTAATTTGGCCATATATATATATATATATATATATATATATATGGTGAATAATTTAACAAGTTACTATGGTTTCTTGTTGTTAAAACGGAATATAGATCAAATGAGAGGAAACCTCCTTAACAAAGTATTACACAGATCATATTATTAAGGAAATATATGTATATATACATATACTACTATTGTATTCAAAATATCTTATTACAACATACTCTTTTGATAATACTGACAACTTGGTATAATTAGATTTGAATAGTTTTCCATGTTAGAAAAACAATGTAGTTGACGTAATTCTCAAAAATCTTCTGTTTCACATTTTTTTCATTAATTATTACTATAAGATTGATTATTGGAGAACATCAATCTGATACATAGAATCTGATGATATTACACTATAAATCATCTTATACTACTGTAACCAATAACAACCGTTAATTAACACAGAAAAGTAGTATCTTATTGAGATTTAAATAATTTAATGTAGCAAACTGAAATTTAAGAAAGAAATAATGATTATTGTATAGTTTATAAGAAGAAACAAAGAATTTACTTCTTGACTTCTTACAGTTTGTACAGTAAAATGTTTCGTAATTTCTACCGTGTTTATTTTTCTTTAGATTTCCATTGAATGTTTTCTAAATAAATACTTTGATCTGTAATAATTGCATATGTGAACATAAATATAGGAACCCAGGAATATCTAACTGCCGAGCTATAAATGAGGTGAAATGTTTGTCCTGGATTCTCAGTAAATAGTGTTACCCTTTAAAGTGAAAAATCTGGAATTAGAGTCTTAATGTTAATATAAAGTCCTATATAGGATGAGGCGAAGTCATAGGTTGTCTTGCTATCCACATTACATCTATTCTATAGATGAATCAAATTTAAGTCTGATCTTTAAATAATCTTTGTTGAGTTTGCTTTTCATCATTATTCACTTTTTTTAGTTGATTGTTAAATATTCATGTTGCTGATAGGTAAGCTTCACTTGAGATCTTATATTGTAAACATTTGTAACCGTAAAATCATTACTACGTGTAAGAGTAGGCAGGAAGGAAGTTAAGGGTGGGCAAATCATGACATTATATCACTTCATGAAGAAGTGCACTGTAGGACTAAGCGATATGCGTAAATGTAGGCTAACTGGTTGGGCGTCCAAATGAATACCGTAACCATTGGTTAGAGACACAGGATCAATAGCATTTACTATTTGTCTTCCCTTCCAACTTACAAATTGCTGAAGAGAATCTGTTTTATTTAGTCAATTCATATTTTCTTTAATCGTATCTTCGATCCGTAATCTTGTCATCAGCATTGTTACCATTTCTATTATTCTGGGATGTGCCTTGACAATTTCATCTCATTGTGGTGCGTTATAGCAACTTGAACGTATTTACGTATGTGTCCAGTTCTACGCTGCATATAAACAACTGGATGACTAAGTGACATCAACCTATAAGATGTATTTGTATCACGAATCGACTGGAGTCAAACATTAACACCGTTGGATGTCGGCTCGGTGGTCTAGATGTTATGCACAGGACCAAAGGTCCCGTGTTCTAGTCCAACATGCAGGATCTTAGATGCTCACTATTGAGGAGTCTCGTACTAGGACGAGACGGCCGTCCACTGATTCCGGGTTTTCAATGGTCGTCTAGCTTAGACTGACTCATGGATTGAACTTTTAAAAAATATGTTGCATTGGTTAGTTTTTCTACATTCAGCGTTGTATAGTCTCAGCAATGTTAAAATGAGAGATTGTTAACTCATTTTAAGTAAGAATCTAATAATATCACACATGTGTTTTGCAGCTGTTTGATTTAAAACAACATTTAAACGCTGATTTGTACCGATTATTTTACTTATATAAGTTAAATTTAATACCAGATTTTTGTAACTGGAACACTACTTCAACAAGACTGATAGTTTTATTAATATATTTAGATAAAAAAAGAAGCGCGCTACACAACAGTTCTCTCTAAAAAAATTCTGAATCTTGCAAAGATATCGCTGCTTAAACAAAATGATATCCAACAGTTGCATATATTTGAAACCAGATATTTTCTACACACGGAAAACAATTCTACATTACATTTTCCTTCAAACTAGATCTTTAATGAGCTATTGAATAACAGAAAAGCAAGGAACTCTGTTGTACCACTTCATAACATTAAGAGACACTTTTAGACGTTCATTGTAATTAACTACTCACCATATTTTGATTTTCAATTTGAATTGAATCTTAATAAAAGTTTCATGCCTAATATCATGGTTAATGGAATACTGTATAGTTGAATTGAGGAATATTCAAGTTTAACATCAAGAACTAAGTTTCCTTAAATATCCATTGGAAACTGAGAATCAATGAATAACTACTTCATAATCTAAATGTTGGGGCGATCCAGAAAACCTCTCGCAAAAGACAAGAAAAGATCAGGAAAACACTAAGAAGCATTTTATCTATTCAGCGTTCACTAGAAGTTTAGCCAGAAACATCAAGAAAGTGAAAAGTCACATGTAGAGTTTCTGATTGGCTGATTAATATGCTGCTATGTTTAGTAGCATTCCAGAATTCTCGGAAAACCCAAAGACATCTAAAATACTATAAAAATCCTATATTCTCTGTACCAAAATGAACCTTTGGAGTAAAGTGCTTCTCGCATATTTTTCGCCTTTCCTCTTGTGATCAGGTCGCTGTATATTTCTAACTTGATGGTTACGAGAATAGCTTAGCAACTGAATATAGCGTTCAATTACCAAGACTTATCACTAAATATAATCTATTCCCATTAGAGTATTGTTTAATTTCCTTCCACTATAACCGGATTTCATAATTTCAGTCATTGGTGTAGACACACAATTTAATCTGTCGATATCCAAGTAAATTCTATAGAATGATAATTGTGTTTGTTTTTTTAACGCATCCTTTTATGTATTTAATCTCCGTATAGTTTATTTTTTCTATTATTTTATTCTTAATCAATAATTCTAGAAGCTGGTTCAGTATTTGGTGAAGTTGCATTAATTGAAGATTGTTTAAGAACTGCAAGTATTTTAGCTTTACCAAATACTAATGAAGTCAATCGGCATGAATCATCATTCAATCAACAACAACAACAACAATCATCATCATCATCATCATTAACGAAACAATCAGAGAAACAATCTGTTTGTTTAGTAAATATTTCAAGAACATTATATAATAATACTGTACGTGTAGCAATGGAAAATGAGTTTTATGAAAGGATGAAATTTGTTAAAAATATAATTTATTTTCAACATTTATCTGATAAAATACAAAAACAAATTGCTATGTGTTTGGAAAAACAAAAATATGAATATAATCAAGTGGTTTTAAAACAAGGAAGTTCATTCAATGGCTTATATTTTGTTTACAGGTAAATTTACATATATATATATATATCACTAGTTAGACCATCATGGAAAACCTCTAATCACTGGACGGCCGTTTCGTTCAATTCGGAGACTCTTCAACAGTGCACATCCACTATTCTGTCTCGCGAGATTCGAACCCAGGACCTACCAGTCTCACAGACGAGCGCCTAACCACTAAACCACTGAGCTGGCCAGCATCCAACGGTGTTAATGTTTAACTTCAACTAATCCACAACGTTAGATATTAATACCGCTGGAAATGAACTCATAATATTCAACCTCAATCACTTTTTCTACTTTATTCAAATTAATCCATGTCGGGTAGAGATAGGTATCAACGCCAGTACAATGGAAGATTGTCGCGCAATTTCGTGGATTGGTTGATTTCAGACACTAACACTATTGGATGCCGGCTCAGTGGTCCAGTAGGTTAAGCATTCGCACGCGAGATTGAAGGCCCTGGGTTTCAATCCCGTGAGTGGGATCGTGGATGCGCAATGCTGAGGAACCCCACGATAGGACGAAATGGCCGTCCAGTACTTCAAGGTTTCCAATGGTGGTCTAACATCAATCGGTTCATAATCTCAATTAAAAAATTAATGAAAAGAACCAACTGGATTACATTTTCTCAATTTTCACATTGTACAAACTGATTTTTGTATTGACAAACAAATAATAATATACGGAGAATTTGTAACCAATTGACCTTAACTATTCCTTTAAAACACCTTAGTTTCAAGTTTACTCAAATTAACAATATACTGTAGGATATAGGTATATAAGTATAGGTAGATATAGGTATCTAATTTTTCCTAAACAGTTTGACTTCAATAGATTGGAGTTATGTGTCTAGATTTCTTTAATCATGATAAACAAATGAAATTCATTGAAATAATCTTTATAACAAATAAATATCGGTATCTATGATAAATGTTTTCCATTTTAGAGTTAGTTCAATACAACTATTCTGAAGTGAATTGAAGTGATTCTTAAACCATTTTAATATTCTAAAAGTTTACTAATTTACTCACATTCAACACAATCAAATTAAGTCACATTTCAGAATTACAATTTTAGAAACACTTCAAAAATAAGAAGGAAACAATTGTTTAATGGTTCCTGATTTTCAATGTGTTCTAATAATATCTGATATTGTACAATAATAAACAAAAATGGTACTTGAATACTTTATTAAAACAAATGTTTCACAAATAGTAACGCTGGTATTTTAAAGGCGAACCAATCAAGTAAGTAACCTTATCTAATCAACCAGAACAAAAGTAGGAATGAACGATTCACGGTGTTAGGATTAGGATTCAGGATTCAAGATCAGGATGTAGAGCTTAAGATTTGGGGTTAATTATGATCAGTATGTAGAACGCATGGTTACAATTGTAACCAGGTTTTATGCTTTAAGTTGATGATTTAGTACACGGAATCGATTTTAATATGAGTCTGTATGTACAGTTGTCCTAAACTCTAGCGTGAACTTGAAGCAGCTTTTTATCTCTTATAAGTCACCTTTATATGGCAAAAAATCACATTTTATGCAGTTTTACTTTATCACTAATTGGTTAAATTTCTTATATTTCCATCCGAAGAGGTAAACTTCGAGTAACACTTCATGTCAAGCAATCTCAAACATCTACGACTTACCGAAATAATTATAGATCTATAAAATATGATCTACCATTGATAACTGGATCCAATCCATTTACACCTGAGAAAACAGGTTAGTCCTAATTCTTTACATTGCAAAATCAATTCATTGACTGAAAATTAGTATTCTATTGTTTAATAAATATACCTCTCTACTTCATTTATTCATATTTGCAATAGAAATGATTATCACCTGATATACTGGGTGCACGATACAGTACAAATCGATATGCTTCATAACTGGGTTCGAACCACTCACAAAAACCATATTACCTGTATAAATCACTGAAATAAACAGATATCGTAATGCAGAGCAACAGATCTCCAATAGCTTACAGTGAAAAGAACGGATCGTACTGGTCATGCACAAACCCACAACAACAACGACTGCTTCCTTATGGGATATTTTTTATATCAGTCAGCTACATGAGTATCAGAAGAAAACCGCTAGCTTGTAATTGGAAGTTGCTAGTGTTTAGCGATAAAGCAACAGTTCTTTTCACACATTTTAATCAACATGAAATCACGTTGAAGAAGAAAATAAATGAGTGATTTATACCGATTGGTCTAATGGTAGGATAAATCATTCAATAAGATTATTCAGATTAACTAGTTCTATCAATCAAAAGCTGAAGTAAAAACATTTTGCTTCAACAAAGAACAGTTTAAATTTTGAATAATTCAATTCATATTAGAAATTCAGTCAATCAGTCGGTCATCAACAACGTAGAACGTCGTACGTACGTAAGATAAGTCCCTTGGTAGATCATTTACTAACCAAGGAAATTAACAATTGACTAATGAATTTAGTACATATTTACTGATAAGGAAAGTAATACTGTCATATAATTATCGTATATAACTATGTCAGCAGAAATTGAAGTAAAGTGTAAACATCAAAAATGATTATTCATTTGATAAGTTACCTAGATAAACTAGTGCCATCCAATCATTCATATTTTCAATCACTTTGTATCATGGTTAACTTTATGTTAAATCTCGTCATCGATTCGGAAAATTCATTCCACTTTTACCAGATTCGGTTACTTGTGAAGTGGGACAAATGACTATTGTGCTGTTCACGGTGGGAAGATATTTTCCGGATTATTTATTACAATTTAATTAAAAAATTGTCCAAATTCATGTAGGTAGTAAATTGTATATGAAAACTGAAATATCCAGGACAACCGAATTTATTTACATATAAAGTTGTGTCGTCTAGATTTTATATTCTCAGTACACCTATTGTATTACTTATAAGTAATTAGTTTATACTGAGATACCTTACAAACAGCTAATGATTTTATCAAGGAGATCAGTGAATATGACAGTGAAATTCTAGAAAAAAACGTTTTCAAATAAAAACTATGGAACTTCTTCATAGGTACTATCAAACTGTAAAAATGTATTAAGATGGATAGTGGATAGCAGTGGAATCTAAGACGTGCGTCTCGTCAGATTTGGGACTTGTCGGCTGAATGTACCTGCATCTCAGAGTTGATGTTCACTTCACAACTTGAACCCAGTGCCGTTTGATTCAAACGCCTTCGTGTTATCCACTTAGCTACTGAGTCTTAGATTCCACTGCTATCCACTATCCATCTTGGCTTATTATGCTTGTGAATTAAGGCAATACTCACAGTATGTACATATGCCAATTTGAAACTGTCCTAAACAGTACCAAGTGAATGTAAAGATGTATTGCTAATAACGAAAATTAAAAAAAATAAAATGTTACGCTGTAGTTGATATATATTTAAATAGTAACTTTGTTAATTTCTTTAGAAGACATCAAACAACTACTAGACTTTAAGATAGTATCGATGGATACAATTTATTTATGTCCAGAATGTAACGTCATTTGAATCTACTCACATCGGATGTATAATCTACAAGTGCCATGAAATAGTAACTAGTCTGAAATGAAATTAAAAAAACTTTTTATATTTCTCTTAAAAAGCAGAAAACCTATGTGTGTGGCGCTCTTTACTGACTTACTTTCAGTAATTTAAGAATCAAGTTATTACAATATAATAAAATATCGATAAAGTCAACGTTTAAATTGATAAAGAAAGCTTATTGAATGTTTCGTAAGTGAAATAGTATTTACTTCTGTGTAAATCACATTGTTATATCCGCATTCCTACAGTTACTTCTAGAGTTACCTCTACTATGTACATATCAGCTTTTGACATATCTGCTGCATTATTGCTTTTGCTTGAAAATAGGAACCGATACAACTCCTACGAAGGCAAAGTAAAAACACAGACCAATGAAAATAAAGATTTATTAAGTCTCCAAATTCATGTTTTATCAAACCGAATACACTCAATTATATACTGATTTTACATATACACTTAATGGCAACTTAGTAAATATCATATAAATGAAATGATATAAAGAGTAACTACAAAACACGAATTTCAACTAGAATAAGATAATGAATATAACTGTCACGTTAGGTAACAGTCCACACTTGTTATATAGAACGAAAATTCACACTTATTCGATACAAACATACTGACTTGAAATAATATTACAATGGAAATAAAACTATTGTTAGAAAATTTTAAACCAAGTTAGAGAAAATATGAAATCACCTGCTTAATCCTACTTATCATGAAGATGGTAAAATGTGGAACGACTAACTAATTGAAAAAAACCATACTTCTAAAGACTTTGAAGAGTATTTTCAACAATGACAAAACAGATGAAATAAGTGTATCAAAACAAGACAAGATTTTTATACATTTAAGGCAAACTGCTATAATTTGGGGTCTTGTGCCCCTGTTAATATATGTAACATGAATGATACTGCCAATTAGAGAACAGTGATTTATCGATCGGATCAATGACGCGTACACGAGCAGTTTAGAGTCTCAGCCTCCGCAACATGAATCATGTATTTCAAGCATATCAGGTTTATATACAAACCAAACAGACAACATCGTACCACAAAATAGAAAACAACATTTGTACAAGATCTAGCCAAAAGTGACTGTGAATGTTGGAGACTGTATTTAATAGACTAGGCATAACTCAAGAACAGTAAATCGTATAATAACAGGCTATAGGTCAAAGTAAAACTTATAATGAGAGGAACATAAATATACATATCTTGGTTACTTAATAATTACACAATAAAAATATATGTATCGTATTGATCCACAAATAGTTCTCAAAACTTACTGTTCATAATTCTCGTCGGGATATAACAGAAAGATAAAATTTACGAACTGGGTAGAAGAGGAACAGAGCTTAGTTACTACTAGTGAAACAAGATTAATAGGCTTAATGGACATTTAGATCTTGATAATTCCTCGAAAATGTGTTTTGAAGCCGCGAAGTTCCTGGAAATAGTTTGTGTAAACATGAATCTCTAAAAAATTCTGGAAACTATGAATCATAAAATGTCATTATTCTGAATGAATAATTGCTAAAAAATTTTATCGATATTAGTGCGTCTTTCAGATGTTTGTATAATCTCGTCAATAGTTTTATTTTTTTAATATAAATCATCCTGCTTCCATACTACCAACGTTCTGTTTACTGTTCTGGTTTCAAGAGTATTAGTTTACTAGGGACTAGGAAGTCGATTACAAATCGCTCACTTATTAGACATAACTTAAAAACTTAATGGAATATGAAAAAATAAGATTTAAACTGTTGGTTTCTGTGCATTAAATGTACTTGCTTTCCAGTGTGAAATGTTTTGTTACCTTATATACAATGGTGGGTCATTGTGTGATATGTAAATATTGATATTATGATTTTTGGTTCAACATTAATTCCGTTTTAGTTAAATGTGATGATTATTCAGTGTAGTATTCGGTTGAGTTTTCCCATATGACATATTATTCTCTCTAACATACGATATTCTTGTATTCAATTGACATGAACCATGCCCAGCATATGATTTGTTATAACAGTAAGTATTTTTCATGTATGTGATTTCATCCTAGTTATTAATCAAAGTGTGTGTACAATCAATATATTAATGAGTGTATTTTCGACTAGGGTCGTCGTCGTGTTTTGGGGTCAATAAATCTTGACTTATACCAGTCTTTGTGTTCTTATTTTTGCGTTGTGGGAATTGCAGAGGTTACTCGTTTCAAATATAAGTGATAAGCGTTTCCGACACAACAATCAGTGATGACGAGATATAATAAGTAAGCATTCATTGACAAGTTATAACAAATAACATGTGAGCTTCGGTACCTTAAGGTCGTGAGTTGAGTAGTTCTTAGCTAAGAATTTAAGAACCGCTCACAACTTTCATATTTTCAGCTGTATTTATAACCAATCAAAACTTGAAAAAAGCTTAATGTTTGCAATCTTTTTATAAACACAATAATTAATAATCTTACCTTATGAAATCACTAGAAACACACATATATCGTAGTCCTACCAAAAATCTGTAAAGTATGAAACCTTTCAAATCTAATATTATTGTTAGAAACATAATTCAATCACTTGGTTAATATTATCATAATATTATCACTGATATAATACAAACTTTCTATAATCTTTCCTTTTTTATATTTCGAATCTCACGGCGGGTGGGCGTGATCGTGTATGAGCACTGCTGAAGAGTTCTAAACTAGGACGAAACGGTCATCCAGTGCTTCTAACTTCAATTGACTCATGACTTCAACTAATGAAATTTTCAAATATTAAATTATATACATATATATATTCAATAAGAACTTTCGTCTAAATTTGAACGAATAGTTTCACAATATTTGGGTGCCGAGTTAATGTGAGACATTAAAGAGGGAGAATGTATTTGTAAAATCTCAGCTGAGATTCCCCTCTTTCTCCCTCTTTTATATCTATTCATATTGATCATTTATTTTTTTATTTTGTCCAGGATCATTATGTATTGGTGATATAGAATTTTTATTAAAATATCCAAATTATTTATTTACTATTATATCCAATACATCTTATACAATATTATATTATATGAATATTAAAAATGCTGAAAGATATTTCTATGGTTTACATATAAAATTTAATTATTATGAATTATTAATGATACATTTAACAATGAATAAATTTTCTCAATTTATACAATTAAGATTACAAAATGTTATTGATTTTTTACCAAATCATTCTAAAATGATTTTATTAAATTTATTCAATAATTTAATCAATAATCAATTCAATCAAGAAAATTATAAAAAAATCAATAAAAATAATAAAAAATTAAAAAATAATTTTAATTTATTAAATTTTAATCAAACATTTATTCATCCATATAATAATAATAATAATAATATTAATAATAATAAATTATTGAATGAAAAAAATAATCAAAAAATAAAACAAAAACAATTTTTTTGTAATTTTTCTAATAAAATCAATAAAACATTAAATAATCATATAAATAATTTATCATTAAATAATTTAATAAAAATTGATCAAAATTTATTAAATATTGATTATTTACCATTGAATTCAATCAATCAATTCATTGAAATTCTTCAATCAAATTTACCATATTCTTATAAATTAAATGCTGGACGTTTATTACAACAATTAGATAATTATAAATTACAAATTAAAATTGATAATTTTATTAAAAATTTAAATGAATTAAAATTAAATCAATTGAATGAAAATAATACACAATTAAATTATTATACAACAATTTCTGAACAGGTAAATTTTAATTAATTAATAAATAATCAATATATATATATATATATATATATATATATATATATATTCGATGTTATGCAATCATATTTCATTGTTTAAGATAGATGATTATATCAGAAGGGGTTTTGTGAAGATTTCGGATACTTCACGGAGGGGAGGAATGGGATCCTGGATGCGCACTTCTGAGGAATCCTATACTAGGACGAAACGGCCGCACAGTGTTTCTGGCTTTAATTGACTTATGATTTCAACCATTGAGATGATTATATCACAATTGATATAGTTAAACTAAATTAATTATGATTCATTTGGTATTGTTTGACTTAAATCTTCCTATACATGTTTAGGACTGCAATTGTTCAGTTTCTTATTGAAATGTTTGTATACTTGCATACTAAGATGCAGGTATATTCAGCTGACAAGTCCCAAATTGGACGAAACGTGTGTCTAACTGGATTTAGCTGCTATCCACTATTCGTCTTTGTTTATAAAGCTTGTAAATTAAGGCAACAATGAGGCAATACACACTTGATGCACATATGCCAATAACAGACTGATCAGCTGTAGCCCTAAACATCCGTGGGAAGATACAAGGAAAACAATACTAAGCGAATTAAATTTCATCCCATTGCACAAGCAATCGGCTATCAGGACTCAGTAGCTAAGTGGATAACACGATGGCGTTTAAAGCGAACGGTACTGGGTTCGAGTTGTGGAGTGAACATCAACTCTGAGATGCAGGTACATTCAGCTGGCGAGTCCCAAATAGGACGAGACACGCATCTTGGATTCCACTGCTAGCCACTATTCATCTTATAAATTAACTCTGGTTTCTCATTAGAAATTTGGATATTTCCTTTTAAAGTACATTACTTGTGAGTTCATGATAATTGTCACTATGAATATATGGGGAATAATAATATTTTTGATACTGTAAATAGATTTTCGTATAAATAATGAATCTATGAAAATCTTTTTTTAGATTCTTATGTCTATCAATCAAAGAAAGAAGCAACTTATAAATTTATCCATATAAATTACCTATCTTCTCTATCCTTTATAATGACATAAATAAAATGTTTTAGGAATCTCCATAATTATCTTGGTTCTAGTTAAGTAATTGTGGATTGTGATTGTGATTTTAGGTTTGGAAATTAAAAGTTACAGAATTCGAAAAAAAGGAATTAGGTCGAAGTTATAAGTTTAAAGTTGGCAGTTTACGGATAGGGTTTGGGAATATGGTTGATTTGAGTGTCTTATACAATCTACACAGAAAGTATTAATGGCAAGAAGTAAGTTTCGGTTATCATTTTTAACTTTTTGACCATTTTACAGAATTTCTGGTTATATTTGATGTGTGATAAAAGTCAATTATCTTTGAATTTCAAGGGAAAACCACACAGTCGTTTCCTCGATTCTGATTGGTCTATCCTTATAATCTACTTTTTATCCATTCCCATACGCTACATTAATTTTTTTTCAAAATTGATCAATTTTAAACTTTTGATTAATATTACATGTTCAATCAATGATATACAACGTATAAATTAGCACACACATACACCAGTGCAAGTTACCACACTGTATTAGCATAGTGAGATGAAATTATCAAGAAAAATCCTACAATAATATCCGACTAGTAGTAAGTGTATTACTAGTATTGGTGGTATGAAACTAAATAGTTGATGTATTTTTCAATACATTTACCCATCTATCAAAATATTAAAAGAATATTAAAATATTAAAAGAAATATCATATTATCCGGTCCTTATTATTGATCGATTTACATCAAGTATTTTTACAACCTTGTCACTATACCATGTAATTTCCACTGAATGAATAAACCACAATCCATTAAAAATGCAAATTTCCTTGAGATCATGAAACAGTCTAAATAAACCACCAATAGGAACCTAGGAGCACTGGGCTGTCGTTTATCCCTAGAATGGGACTCGTCAGCAGTACACATCCATGACTCTGCATGCGAGAATCGAACACAGAACTTTTGATCTCTCAGGTGAATGCTTATTTTATAAACCAATGAGTTAGCAACCAACGCTGTAAATATCTTATTTTTAGGATTACGACCTGAAATTTTTGTTTGTCATATATTTTCCATCATAAACAAAATTTCAACTGGCTGGCGCCTACAACTAGTTACTATTGATGCATTAACTAGTGTAAATTCTGTTAGTTCTGTACAGCCTATAAAAGAGTGCGTCAGTTGTTACCTAACCATTGAAATGATAGCACTGACAACTTTGAACCGTTTTTGACAACTGAATAGTTTAGAAAATATTCTCAGAAAATGTCGAAAATCCACTGATAAAACACGTGTAATGTTACGAAATAGACCGCATACACATAAATGGATATTAACTATCAGTTAGACGACACAATATGTTATAACTAATATCAATGCATATAAAGTCACGGATATAAATTCAAATTTGGAAATATGAGGATCATCTATCTAGGGAATTCAAAGAGTGGCAGAGGATTCATGAAAGTATAGCATTCAGACCAATTATCGGCCAATAGACACTTTTACATAGACACAATCTATCAATACATATTAAAAAAGTCAACGAATTAAGTAGTCAAAGGTCAACAGAACATGATAGTCAACTTGAATACGAGGACAAATGATGATTATAAAAATCATGAAAACAAAACTAGTATGAAATTTGGAATAACTAAAAAGCTCACTTCTACATAGAGTAAGCTCTGATGTTATTACCCATAAAGCTCACTAATTAAACTATCAACCTTAAACAACTTAACAACATCAAGAACATGAGGATATCCAACAAACTACTAATTCAAAAAGTCTACGAACTTGTTCAGTTAGCACGACACGGAAACCAACATTATTAAGCGTTTAAGCCATCACTTTAGTGATATCAAGAACTATATTTCAATAGTTGAGATCATGAATCAGTTGAAGATAGACCACTATGGAAAACCTGGAAGCATTGGACGGCCGTCTCGTTCTATTGTGGGACTCCCCAGCAGTGTGCATCTACGATCCTGTCTCGCAAGACTCGAACTCAGGACCCACCAGTCTCGCACTCGAGCGCTTGACCACTAGACCACTGAGCCGGCCAGCATTCATTGGTGTTAATGTTTAACTTCAACTAATCCACTGATAGATCGTGGGTTCAAATCTTGTGAGGCGAAATCATGGATGCACACTGCTGAGGAGTTCCACAGTAGGACGAAATGGCCGTCCAGGTCTAACTTTAATTCACTCATGATCTCAACCATAGAACTTACTACAATCTCCACAAAATACCCCTTTTGATACCCATATTAATTAAGTTTTATTTTCAAATAAATAAGAATTAACCAATTGAAATTTATCTCTCTCTAACATTTTAATTTTGTTCAGATTAAGAAAAACAACAAAATTATATGAAATAATCAATAGTGTGACAAAAGAAAAATTATCAACTTCTACCGACAATCTTTTTTTCAAAGAAAAAAATAAAGAGAAAACTTTATAACACATAAAACAAAAAATCTATAAAAGAATGGTTATAGGGGAGTGATTTCAAAGAATTCTCTTTTCAATTAGATTTCTCTTGAATGATGATTTATAGTTATTACTGGTATATAGATATAGATATAGATATAGATGAAAAGCCGACACCTACCAGTTCTAAGCAAAATCATAAAACATAGTTCTATTAATAGATAAGAAGAGATAAAGTGATATACTCCATAGTTATAAATCTATCTACTTATAAATAGAATCTCGCGGGATGCGGGATTGTGGATGCTCACTGCTGAGGAGTCTCATACTAGAACGAAACGGCCGTCCAGTGCTTCCAGGTTCTCCATGGTGGCCTAGCTTCAATTGACTCATCATTTCAATCAGTGAAATTTCTAAAATCCCCATAAAACCCCTTCTGATTATAAATAAAACATGCGGTTATTTAATCCTATTCCTTAGTTTAATTGTTTTGATATATTAGTTAGATAAATAAATGTTTAAACTATGGAATTAGTAATATATAGGAGTATAAAGAATGAGAATATCATATGTAGGATTATTATAAATTACAATTTTTTTATACAGGTAATAGATTCTTCTATAATCGCTTAATTCTAAGCTTTTGTTTGATATTCAGAAACTTCTATCGTGTTTTTTTTATTATTTTACATTTGTCATTATTTAATCATTTCCCTATTACTCTAGTTTAGTATTAGTGTTGGGAATGGTTTGAAGAAAGTTAAAGGCGACCAAACCAAAACGTGGCATCAGTGCTTGAAGTCACTACCTTCTAGTCTTAGCCATGTCGGTAGATGTATACTACTTGGTTGGGGTCTGTGTGACTATTGTTACCAGTGGTTGGAGACTCCTGGTGACATGGCTCAGAATTGATCACAATGGTGTAGGTGTATACACTCTCTGTCTTCCCTTAAACTAAGCGATTAAAATCGCTTTATATCTTTCTTTCTATCAACTAATTCTTTCTTCCTGTACTATGTCCTCGTATGCAATCTTTCTTTTATATATTACCACCACTGAATTGACTACTTCTATGAATTTGGTGTCCATCTTATTGTTCTAATGAGATATGGCAACTTTGATCGATGCACATATGTGCCTGTTCCTACGTTGTAGCCGACTGACTGACTGACTAGTCTAGTATCACTTATATAAGAGTTATGCAAATATTGTAATTTTCTAATTGTGTTGCTGAGTAGTCAAACAGTTCAAGTACATGATTATATTACTTTTGAATCATAATGAATCGAGTACAATAGGATTTGATCAGCTTTCTATCTTCTTCTTCTGATTTGGTGCCGGGTTCAAAGGAACTTGAGGTTTAATAAGCGTTAAGGTTTTGGTTGTTTACGAAAATGAGAGGACGAAAAGCGAATGTCCGGCGCTTTAACCGGATCATAAACCAATGGTGCACATGGGCTCCAGTATCCTGCGGAAACAAATGGCATATGAACCAATCTTTGGTCACCGGCTACCATGGGATTG